AATTTACAGGTGATCATGTATTGTGTTATATTATATTTCTGGAAAATTTAAGGGGTAGTTATATAATAATTTTGAACGATCTCAGGCGGTCAGATACTTATAACCGCTACTGTATTAATTGCAAGTGAATGCTTTTTTTTAATATTGCTGATAATCTATTAACTAATAAAAAGATATGTATAAAATTAGAATTATTCAAAAAGATTATGTTTTTAAAAAGAAATATATCTAATTAATTTAATATAATTCATCTTAATACAACTAATTAAACATAATGTACTAATATATTGACTTTAATAAAAGTTTTATTTTTGTTAATTTTTTTTATATTATTTATTTATTAAAATCTGTTAAATATCTATTATAATTCATGGTTAATTCAAATTGATAACACTATACTTTATTAAAGTCTAAACAAAAATTAATCAATTTTTGCAAGTTTAATAAATATTATAAAGAGTGAAATGAATGCAAAAACAAAAATTTATAAAAAATTATCATTAATATGATTATAAAGAAGGAATATTTTGAGAGTGAATAAGAAAATTTTTTTGTTAATAAGTGGGCTTATTTATAAACTGATTATTTAATCAGTATTAAATGCATTGCTAAACCTGAATAATTATTTTTCAAAATAGATAGATCTAATATATTCAGATATAAATACTAATTATTTACCAGTTAATTAACTATTAAACTATTATCTAACCATAATAAACTAATATTTATTTATTGATTATTCATTAATTTAATAGATTAAACTTATAAATAAATTAAATTAAAATTTTATTAATAGTTATCAATCTGAATTTGTTTTTTCTTAATAAATAAATCCAGTTATTCATTAACAAACTGGGTCTAAATATAAATTACCTAATGTCTTGCTATTTAGATAGATTAAAATAAATTAATTAAGTATATTAATAAGAAGTTTTAAAAATAGAAATTAGAAATACAAAAAGTAGAAGAGTAATAGAAGTTGTTAAAATAAAATTCAAAGATTATAATGATCTAAAAAAAAAAAAAATGTGATAAAGAATTAAAACTGTAAATTAAACTCTTTTTAAATTTATATAAGAGAATTCTAACAAAGTATAGTCAGTAGGTAAATAATTTATAAACTATTCATTAATTCAATTAAATTACAATTAAAAAAAAAATATTATCAAGTTATTGAAGATAAAATAGCAATATTTTTTGCATTAAAAGTATACAAGATAATTTTTAAATAATACTATTACTTTTATTTGTGAAAAATTATCAGAAATTTAGATAACAAAAAAGGTGTAAAAGTAATAGAAATATTATAAAAATAATAATTATTAATATAATTCTATAAAAATAGTATAAGTTACTAATTAATAAATAAAATTACCCATTTATCATAAAATTACTATTCTAAGTATTCTTTTTATACTAAGTATTTCAATTACATATATAAAAATATATTTAATTTAATATTTAAGTTAATATTTAATCTTATATTTGAAGGTTACAGTTAAAAAAAAGTAGTAAAAATAGTTCTAATATAAACTTTTATATAAGTGTTATATTGTAAAGTAAAGGTTAGAAATTTGTAAATAAAATTTGAAAAACAAATTTTTATTAAGGTTAGTAGATATATTATTTAGAAAAAAATTAATATATATCTTTATTATTTATAATTACACAAAATTTTAATTAATGATCATTATTTGATATGAAATAATCACTTATTATTATAATTTGAAATTTAAAAAATCTCATCACTATTTTTATACTTTAATTGAATTTTATTATTTATTTTAAATTTATTAAACTTTACATTTTAGTTGTAATAGTAACTCTAAAATATTATCTAAGTAGAATTACTAGTTGATTTTGATAATTTATATGTGATTTTTATTATACAATTAGCATATATAATAATAGCCCAATCCTGTTTTTATAAAAAAATTTTTTTCTTGAACTGTATTTTATATTATCATGCCACCTAAAAAGGCATTACTTTTCTGTTTAATATATGGTAATCCAATAGTTTTATATTTAAAATTAAATAAGATAAGAATACAACCATTAAAAAATTTAAAGATACTATACTATCTTAATTAAGAAAAAGAATTTCTTTATCAATATTAATTCTTTTAACTTTATTTATATCAAATTGATATTGATCTACTATACAAAACCTTAATAAACCACTCTTGCCAATTAAAATATTAATATTATTAATAATTTGAGTAATCAAATATTGAGTACTATGGATATAATTAAAGAAAATTTTTCTGCATTTATTAACAAATATATTTACGTCATTATTGTAATATCTGCTTTTTCTATTATTGCTGATAAGTGAATTTATTATCTTTTGAGTATTAACCTGTTGAGATAATTATAGACAAATAATAAAAAAGTTGATATATAAAGGTTTATTAAAGTAACTTAATAATTTGCTAATTAATATTCTTAATAGAGTAATACCTTTTATTAAGTATTTTTTTCTAAATTTTTTTATTTTATTTTTTTTTTATTTCAGGTAAATGAAAAAAACTAGAAGTCTTTTTCTTAAGTATGAACTAAACACATTTGAATAAGCTACTTAACCACTTGAATTTTTATTAAGCTATAAGTATTATCACTATGAATTTAATAAATAAAGATTTTGATAAACAATTTATGTAGGATAAATGAGCCAAAATTCAATATGTAAAAGATCAAAAAGATTTATAAGGTTGTATAATTAAATGAGAATATATAAATTATTTAGTGATAATATTTCTATTTCTTTAACATTTATTTAGTATAATTTAAAATCTAAGAAAGACCTTTTGAATATCAATAATACCTTGCTTTCATATAACATAAGTGGGATGACAGATGTGATGACCATAGATGAAAGCTTTATAACGTTTTAGATTATCATAGTAAAATTCAGGCTGAATTTAAATTAATATTAATTAAGCTATTGCAAAGCTTATCATGATAAATATTCTTTCAAATTATGTTATTTTTTTAGTTTTCACTGATTTAAATAATAGTTGGATATTCTATTAGCTTTTAAATGATAGAATATTTATGATATTTTGAGCTGTCAATTCAAGTAATGCTCTTATATTATTAAGAGAGCACTTATTAAAGATCTTACTTTTATCACAACTACTATAACTATTGATCCTATTTTCCTATTAGAATGAAAATTAACTGTTTTTATTATTTGGGAAATTTACAAGAAGTATCAGAAAATGAGATAAAAAGTCTGAATCTATTTTTGAATAAGTCTAAATTCCAATTTGAATTTGAGATACCAGCTTTCATTTAGATAAAAATTACATGAGTATGTTCTCATGATTATGCAAAGATAATATTAGTTAAATTTTTAGATATATATAGTTATTTTTTATTAATAAAATTTTCAATAAAGCAATTTATAATTCCACCAGTATTGGGTTTTATTCTTCCAGTTGAATGAGAAAAAGTATGCATTGTAGATCAATCCACAATATAGCAGTATTGGTAAATGACCTTGAAGTGGACCTAATCATGTGATGATTTTACAATGAAATGTATCACGTGATCATATACATAGTGACCTAAGTCACTTCAAAAAAAGGGAAATGACCTTGAAATTTGCCAACACTGCAATACAGTGCATTCATAAATAAACATATTAAAAACATAAGCCCATTATGGAAAACAATACTAAAATGGAGAAACATGTGATTACCCATTTTTATTTCTCAGAATCGAAGCCCATAATTGGGCAAAAAACTTTATTATAATTAATGATTAGGCACTTCAGCCATTACTAGAATCCTCTTTCAACCCAAGGAATAATTTTATTTGGTGAAGTTGATCTTGGAGTTTTTTTGATGTCTATAAAAGCTGGATCTCCTGAGATAATATATTATACATCTTGGAGAAAGCTTTCCTTTTTTTTCTTCTATGAAAAAAAAATGGCCGTGAACTCGTGCCAGCACGTTTCAATCTCTTCATTATACAGTATGTGGAACGATATCCTGTGGAAGCAAAACTTGCAGAAGAAAATCGGTTAGATCCAGCTGGAAAGAAAAAGATATAATATATTTTGAGAGACAGCATCGTTCCTCCATTCATTTTCGGTGCGCATTTTTTTGAAGTCCGTTATTAATTGTCAGGAGTCTCCTTTTCGAGATTATTATTGTTCCCGAATTGATTTTTGCGACAATAGGTGAATGCGACTGCAAGAATTATTGTCCAAAGGAGTAAATTTTGGTCATGTGAGCATTTCGCTGTCCGCCACGTGATTTCTTCCAATAATTCTCTCAGGACTCACCGTTTCCTAGTATATATATGGTTATATTTCCCGAAAAAAATGACTTTGAGTGTCTCCATTGTTAGGAGACCTCGGGATAGCATTTCATAGATTGTGATAACGATTACGAATATTACGATCAACAAAAAATATCAGAATTTGAGGGCATTTTGCGAGCAGTTTGATTAATTGTATTTGCAGTGTAAATGCGCCGTAACAAATAGATAAGTAGATTTTTTTTTATTCTTGCTAGAAGTTGCCTCCGATTTGTCCAGTGCTTTTCTAATTAAAATTCCTCCAATAATTAGCCGATCCTGAATTTTCGAAATTACCCTGTATTAGAATGCATTTAGCTTGGCGATCATTAAAGTCAAAAATATTAGCATGAAAGACGGATTTTTTTCTTTCGAACCCTTTATTTATAATAAAATCTTTACATATAGATATATATTATAACAAATAAACTAAATATAACAAATAAATAAAATTAAATAAATAAAACACATAAAATAAATATGCATGAAGCTATAGTAATTTATCTACATTTCTAAGTAATAAGATTTTACAGAATATTTATTGTACACGAAAGATCTTTTATTCCAATCAAAGTTGTAACGAGACTGGCAGTAGCACCCCACGAGAATAACAAAATCAAGTCCCAAACAGTTATATCGGCACCTTGGTGAGGTTCTAGTGTTTTCTGCGAGTAATGCACGTAAATGGCGTATATCGGGAAAGCGATAAAGTATGACGACTGGAATATAATCGTCCTAAAAGGGTGTTACAAAAGTAAAAAATATAGGCAAGAAATAAATAAAGCACTCACAAAAAATACATACGATGATTCGGAATCATTGCCAACTGCACTAACTACATTCCCAATGAGATGAACCAAAGAGGCAAAGACCAAGTATCCTACGTTCTCTAGACGGGTGAATTCACTTGTACTTTCAAATGCCACAATGAAGAAGAGGACCGGCAGAATAAAATCAAGGATCAAACCTATTACAAGGGTAATAATAATATTAATAATTCAGCGACTCAGATTAACGATTAGATAGTTTGCGACATGTAAAACAAAAAAGAACTTGCCTTGAAACTTGAAAAACATCATATCCCAATACCATGGCAACTGACTTAATGCTCCTGTGACAACCACCGAATACACCAATATGATCAAAATGCTGACAATGTATCTCTTATTTGACCTATGGCATAACGCGGCCACGATGAAAACCTCCATAATATTATGAAATATTCCAAAAAATCCCCACACTTTTCCTATGCCAAAGATCAATCCTGCAATCAGGGCTATAAATGTGGCGGAGACGTAAGCGGTAATGATGGTGTTAAAATGAATTAACGTCTGATGGACACCGGGGATTTTCAAGCTGGGACGTTTTTCTTTAGAATTATCATCAATAACATGATAACGTTGGTAGCGTGAGCTTAGCAAACTTTGCTCTTTTTTGCCTGGTATTAAATCAAATAAATTATGCAAGATGGATTTTATATTCAATATGCCCATTATTTTAATAAAGATAGATGCAAAGCTTGCCACACCAGTGACAATAGCTGAAGCAAATTCCGACGTGGTTCTTTCGCTCCCAGGTGACCGGTGAGGACAGGGAGCAGCAAACCATATTGGTAAGCCGGTAATACTTGACATTTCTTGCCCGCGCTCCGGCCATGAAGAATTTTTTATAGTGGCAGCCAAATAAATTGCCGCTGCTAATTGCAAAGGAACAAGGAAAATTCCTACAACCCTGACAATTTCTCTGACTTTTCCCATAGTGCATTAATCGATGGAATTTGACAGTAAGAAATGGTCGACATTTTATAGAATTTTCAAAGAGTTAACTTTTTGAATTTTCATTGTAAGTGATTTAGTTGGCCCAAATGGGCAACCCTAAAGGGTTATATGGGTTATATGAATTTTGAACGCGGAAAAACTTAATTCAAAGAGTTAACTTTTGAATTTCATTGTAAGTGATTTAGTTGGACAGAATGGGCAACCCTAAAAGGTTATATGGGTTATATGAATTTTGAACGCGGAAAAACTTAAAATGGAGAAGAAACCACTAAGGTAGTGAAATGGAATTCTGAGATGCATTTCATTTAACAATAATATGCTTTGCATCCCGTGTACTTATAAGCCGTAAATCCTTAAATCGTAATTTAAATCAAAACTTTAATGGAGACAAAACCGGTTTTGCGCATCACATTTACTCGAAATTTGCGATTGTGTTTTTAAAAATTAGAGATTTTTCATTTATGAATGAAACTCGAATTATCTTTTCGAATAAAGAAGCAAGTTACTTTCAGAAGTGGATAAAACTTGAAATGGTGATTATAATGTATAATGAATATACATATATGGCGAATGTGGCGAAGCGCCTTTCGGCTATCATTTTTTATTTATGCATGTATCACGAGTACAACGTGAGCTTTGAAATTTTTTCGATATGTGAAATCCTATTTGTCACGCTATTTGTCACAAATTAATTTCATAACGTCACACTTAATGTCGTAATGCCGGCCAAATTGTCACGTGCCGGTGATTTTGTTGGTTACGCTTGAGAAGTTTCGTGGAAGCCAAAGTGACACGTGACTGTAACGCAGTAAATGCTCATCTTCTCCCTATCATTTTAAAGATGTCGTAAACTTTTCTGGCCGTATCTGTTCACTTGTGTAGCATACCTCTTTTCACATTTTCCGGAAGTGTTTCCTTAACTTCGTTCAGCTTTGATGGGGGATTGCTTTGCGAATCGCTCTGATAGAGCTTTCCCGAAACGAAAATAAAAACAAATTAACTTCGATCCACGTTTTTTTCCGCAATATCAATGTCATAGTATAATTTGTGGATAATTCACTAGTTGGTTGTATGGACAACTCGCGAATTATGAGTTTAGGCATTTGTCACTCTGGTAAATTTACGTGAATCATCTTGACAATTTCTTTTCTTGGGCGTTTCATAGAAAGTAGGTGAAATGTAATATCCTTCTTTTTCAAATCACTAACTTTCTATTATTACTAATGCATTCAAAATGTACCTTATGTTTGCATGGTAGCAAGATCAAGTGGAGGTAATAGCGAATCACTATCATCGGCCACACCACACAAGCGATATAATGATCCTCCCTTATCCATTTCTTTCACGCAAGTCCGATGGGCAATATCACCGCAAATGTTTTAAAACGAGAGATCTGCTAAAATGGGGCATTTACATTCTCCACATGGCCATGAAAAATCAGGTTTTTTTTACGAAGAATGTCCTCTGGGAGGTATTTCAATATATTCAATCAATTATTTTAAGAGCGATCACGGGTTTGTGTGGTGACGATCAAGTCATCTATATTGATACCTTTGTTAATCCTACTAAAATTTCGTACCCCCTAATCATGTTACTATGAGTATACAAACTTTCTCGAGACTTTTGCCTATATTTATGAATACTGGAACTTTCTTAGAATATAAAACTTATGGAACAACAATAAAGATTCTTTTGACGTGTGGGCTGGTTAAGAACGCGAAGGTAAAAAGGTAAACTATTTCTTTATTTGATTTTTTTTTTTTTGTTCGTTTTATCTTTTAGTTGTCGGGTTCTAGGGTCAGAAAGAAGGTAAGCCATTAATTTATTTTGCTTTGTTTCTTTTTTTTCTTTTTTTGTTGGAGAGCTCTAAGGTAAGAAGGTAAACTATTTTTTGTTTTGTTGTTTTTGACGTGAGGGTTGGATATGAACGAGGTATGTCATGCTTTTTATTGTTTGCTTGTTGTATTTTTTGGTGGTAAGAGTCTAAGGTAAGAAGGTGAGC